ATGAACTACCACCCGGGCCAGACGTGGTCCTCGCAGCCCTCCGTGGGCCCCTCGATTGCGACGCCGTCGTTCAGCTACGGCCACGGCCACGGCGGCCACGGCCACGGCGGCCACGGCCACGGCCACGCCGGGTCGCGCAACCAGGACCCCTCGTCGCACACGTCGCAGCCGATCGTGACGGGCACGTCGGTCATCGGGCTGCGGTACAAGGACGGCGTGATGCTGGCGACCGACACGCTGGCGTCGTACGGCTCGCTGGCGCGCTTCATGAACGTGGAGCGCATCGCCGCCGTCGGGCCGAGCACGCTGATCGGCGCCTCGGGCGACATGAGCGACTGGCAGTACGTGCAGCACATGCTCGACAAGCTCATGGTCAAGGAGGAAAACGCCGCCGACGGCCACATGCTGTCGCCGGCCCAGATCTACGCCTACCTCGCCCGCGTCATGTACAACCGCCGCTCCAAGATCGACCCGCTGTGGAACAGCTTTGTCCTCGGCGGCGTCGACCCGCGCGACGGCAAGCCCTTCCTCGGCTACGTCGACCTCCTCGGCACCACCTACAGCGCCAGCACCATCGCCACCGGTTTCGGACTCCACCTCGCCCAGCCCCTCCTCCGCAAGGCCGTCGAGGGCAGGGAGGACACGCTCGACGAGCAAGAGGCGCGCAGCATCCTCGAAAACGTCATGAAGGTGCTATGTGAGTGGCGCCAGCGCGCGGCCGCCACACCTCTCTCTCTCTCTCTCTCGCATCCTCGTCCGCCGTATTGGCAGCAGGCTGACCTCTCCCTCTCCCTCTCGCCCTGCCCTCATCCCCCTTCCACGCGCACAGACTACCGTGATGCGCGATCGCTCAACAGGGTGAGTGGTCCTCGGCGGCGGCGGCAGCGGCGTCGGCGGCAGTCTCGTAGCGGATCCACGCGGACTGACACATCCACCTCGCCTCCCCCACTGCCTTGCCCCTCCCTCTTCGCCGTCCGCCCGCCCTGCGCGCAGTTCCAAATCGCCACCGTGACCCGGTCCGGCACGAGCATCTCGGAGCCGTACAGCGTGCCCACCAGCTGGGGCTTTGCCGAGATGCTGCGAGGGTACGGCCCGCAGACGCAGTAGCAGCAGCGAGCGCGTGGCCGGTCACTTCTGGCGCCAGTTCCGTCGAATGCGAATCGCCCGCTTCATGATCGAGACAAGGGGGGAAAAAGAAGAAGGACACGCCCCGTCGCCCTGTGCGCAGCGATCGACCGACCGACCGACTGACCCAGTCGCCGCGGCCGACGACGATGACTTGTGCTCACGCCTGCTCACCACCCTGGCTGCCGCGCCATCGGCCTGGAGAGCTGGCGCTGCGTGCAGAGAGAGCGTCAGCATCGCATGGATCCGTGCGCGTGGGTCCGCCCGCTGCGAGGCTCTTCTGACGGTGCGGGGAGATCTAAAGTGGCGGCAGCGCGACGCCGAGTCCTGACCCCTCCTGCCTGACCATTCGATCGACCGACTGAGCCTGCCCTTGCCGTTTGCGCCTTGATCGAGGCGCTGCGCTCCCGCCTCTGTCGTCGACGTTGGTCGTGGTAGTAGGCGAGCGCGTGCCACGCCGTGAGAGACTCCCGGCCTCTTTGACGCCGCACTTGCGCCGCTCAGCCCCCAGCCCCAGCCCCAGGCCCGGGCCCGGGCGCGGCTGGCCCGACCTTTCACCGGGATTTTTTTGAAATTTGGCCTGCCCGTCCCCGCTTGGCTCGTCCTAGCCTGCCTCGATCTCGTCTGGCAGGCAGGCAGGTAGGCAAACCCTGGCCTGGCCGGGTCGGGTGCCTGAGTGGACAACGTGGGCGCAACCGGCAGGCGGGCAGGCGGGCAGGCGGGCAGGCGGGCAGGCGGGCAGGACAGGGTCGTCCGGCGACGTCTGCCGCCCGCCTTCCTGCCTGTGCTGTCCTGCAGAGCTTCGGCTTGCCTCGCGCAGAGCGGGGACATCTTGAACCCCCAAACAACACCTGGCCTGGCCTGGCCTGCCCACCTGCCTGACGAGGAGGTGCCTTCTCAACGGCCCACCACCACTCACCACCCACTACCACCACCACCACCACCACCATCACCAGCACCGACTCTTGTACCCCTCCACACCGTCCCACGCCCATTCTCCCCCTCATACCAGCAGCAGCGCCGCGACCAAGCAAGCAAGCAAGCAAGCAAGCAAGCAAGCATGTCAGTGACGGCGCCGCGCTTTTCGGGGTGCACCATCTTTGGCACGGACACGGGGACGTGCTGCACGACGTTCCCCGTCACGGCCAACATAACCCAGGGCAGCGTGACGTGCCAGACGAGCAGCGACCGCGTCAAGGCGCTACAGCAGTGCCTCACCCCGCTCGTCTCCAGCGGCAGGGACGTCGCCAAGTCGCTCAAGTGCACCGGCTCCTCCAGCAGCGGCGCGGCGCCGGCGGCTGGTCCGACGGGGTCAATCGCAGCCAATAGGTGGACACTCGTCCTCGTCGGCGCTTCCGTCGCACTTGCCGTCGTATCGGGCGCCGTCTAGCCGTCCCCTTTGCTCGCTCCCTCGCTCGCTCGGTCGACGTCGGGTGATGCGGCCGCAATCGGCAGTCTTTCATCGCACTCGCGTCCCCTCGCTCTCGGACATGCCGATATTCCTGCTCTCTGTCCCCGACATCTTCCTTCCAACTCGCTCGACGGGCCTTCACTCTCCCGCGCCTGCCTCGCAACGCTCAATATACGGACCGAGCACACACAGACAAGCACCACCCGCGCACTCTCGTCCCCGTGTACGGTTCGCGACCAGAGGAAGCCACCGTTGGCCCCCTTCACCGCCACCCGGCGGTTTCCGACCTGGGCCCAGCCTTCGTCGTCCGCTCGCACGACACCACCCACGGACTCGGACACTACCGCGCGTCGCACACGCTGCTCTCCGCGACGCGGCAGCACTTCGCACCTGTCCTCCCCTCCCTCGACTGCAACTCCGGCTGGCCCGCTCGGTCGCTCGCTCGGTCGCTTGCTCGTTTCGGCAATTTCGACACGCTCCTTCTATTCGACTTCGAATCCGCCTCGCTCGCTCTTGTTCCTCTCTCGACCTTTCGACGCGGCTGTACAGTATTCGCTCTCTGGGACTTCCTCTGGTTCACCTCAATCTGTCGGCCTTGTCTTGTCTTTCGGCGTTCGGCTGCTTGCATCTCTCGTCTATCCAACCGCGATCTGATACGACACCGGACCCCGCTGCGACATCAGAGCGAAGCCTGCGGGTCGTCGCTCTCAAACAGCCTGTCGACGGAGGAGGCGGTGGAGCACAAAGCCGTCAGCCTCTCTCCCTCTCACTCCACGCGTCTCGTCGTATCTCCCTGCGCCTCTCCCCAGAGACGAAAAGCGGAGCGCTCGAATGCTGCCAACTCACTGCTGGTACGCCTTGCCCACGACGGGGAGGAGGTCGTCGGCGAGGAGCGCCCTGCCCTTTTCGCGGAACGCCAGGCGGCTGCACGTCCTGGCCGTGACGGCAGCGCCGTAGCCGGCAAAGAGGAGCAGCTTGTCGCGCGGGATGTCGTCGCGGCGCGTGCCCGCCTCGACCTCTTCTTCGTAGACCTTGCACCACCCGGCAAACGTTCCGAGGCAGCCGGCCAGGATGTCGCCCTGTCCGCCCGACCGCTTCAGGCCGCCCTCGAGGTCGACGTTGAGCACCTCCCTGGACAGGGGGCGGGAAGAGGGAGCGAAGCGGCGAGGAAGCGAGGGGAACAACGGGGATGGAGGGGTGTCAGCTCGGTCGAGACTCTGCGGCATCTTGTCCCTGCGGCCCTGCAGACGATGGCTCACTTTCCGTCGGTGATGCGGTCCACCTTGCCCTTTTCGAGGATCGTGGGCCCGTCGAGGGCGATGGCGAGCCTCTTTGCGGCGTCGTCCGGGTTGGTCTTGTTGTCGACCTGGCAGGCCTTGCAGAGGCGCGCAAACTCGGCCACGTTGGGCGTGAGGATGGCGCGCCGGTAGCCGCGGATCAGGTCGGGCTTGTTCTGGAGCAGCCAGAGGCCGTCGGCGTCGATGACGAGGTACTTTTCCTGCTCCCTGGCAAGCTGTGGTGGGGGAGGGCGAGGCAGTCGTAGGGTGGGCTCACCGATGGGGTCAGCGATGGCTGGCTGGCTGGCTGGCTGGCGGTCTGCCACATTACTGCGGCCTCGATGAGGATACCACCGCATCTTCGCTGCTCACCTTGACGACCATCTCTGCGCACCCCTGCATAAAGTCGTCCCTGCCCATGCCGGGCCCGACGACGACGGCGTGGAGGCGCTGCATGAGCTCTGCGAGCTCGTCCCTGACGTCGTCCATGGTACGCTGCGGGTCGAGGATGCGGTTGACGATGAGGTCCGGGCTGTAGGTCTTGATGACGTTGCCGGCCTCGGGCGTGCACACCGTGTAGGCCATGTCGGCGCCGAAGCGCATCGACGACATGGACGCGAAAAAGGGCGCGCCCGTGTAGTCCTTGCTGCCGCCGACGATGCCGATGCGGCCCGCCTGGCCCTTGTGGCGGTCGGCCGACAGCGGCGGGATGATGGCCTTGGCCGAGGCGAGGAGCGAGCGGTTGAGCGTGCCGCCCACTGCTGCGCCCTTTGCGGCGGCCGAGGCTGCGACGGAGGTGGTCATGTTGGGTGGGGGATGCGAGAGGGGGCTGATTGGAGTGTAGCCTGGCGGTGGTGGTGGTGGTGGTGGTGGTGGTGGTGGTGGTGGTGGTGAGAAGGGCGGCCTGGCCTGCCGGTCCTGCCAGCCCCGTCGAGGCAACGACGTCGGTCGGTGGGTCGGTGGAGCGCGGAACGGTGCCGGTGTGGAGGAGCGAGGTTGGGATCAGTCACCCTCGCCCGCACCCAGAAAGGCCTAGCCTGCGGGGACGAGGGTCGACGTCGTTGGGTCGCCGGCCTGCCTGCCTGCGTCATTTTGGCCTGGGTGCCAACCGAATCGACCCTAGGCCTGACTCTGCGGCGGGCACTGGACGAGACCCGGATGTGAGGCAAGCCTTGCTTCGCCCGCTCGACGTGCACGGATCACGCTGCGCTCCCGCCTGCCTGCCTGCCTGCCTGCCTGCCCTAGCCTCGGCTTTCTTCCGGTTCGCTGCTGGGGATCTGGCAGCCCAGACGGCCGGGTCGGCCCGCCTCGGCCAGCAGCCCCATCTCGCGGCCTTGTCTCGGTCACGACCGACCATCAAGCACCACCATCTCGTCCTCTCCCCTCTCGTCCTCTCCCCTCTCCTCCTCTTCCTCGCCTCTCTCAACCCGGCATTCCCCCCGTCCCCCTCCCCCTCGCCATGGCATCGACCGACGTGCTCATCATCGGCGCGGGCTGGTCCGGACTCTCGGCCGCGCTCCGCCTCTCGCAGGCAGGGCGCAAGGTCGTCGTCGTCGAGGCACGCCAGCGCATCGGCGGCCGCGCCTTTACCCACTCGTGGAACGACGACACCACCCTCAACGACACCGGCCGCAACGTCCAGCAGGATGCCGCCGCCGCTTCCTCCGCCGCCAGCACCACCTACACCTGCGACTTTGGATGCAGCTGGATGCACGGCTACAACGAGGGATCCCCGCTAAAGGCCCTCGTCGAGCGCTACGGCATCGAGGCACACGTGCCCAACCCCACAAAGACGGTCCTCGTCGGTGACAAGGGTGAGTGCCGGGGCGCGTAGGACGGTATTGCCAAGAGGGGGCGGTCGCACCTGTTCTGACATCCATCTCCCCCTTGAACCACCACGTCAACCACCACCACCACCGCCACGGCAGGCGCCCTCCCCGCCGACCTCGCGACCAAGATCGGCGCCAACCTCGCCGCCGCCCAGGACGCCGCAAGGGACCTCGCACAGAACCGCGGAAGCACTCGGCCGCCCGCGTCCCAGTCGCTCGCCTCGTTCCTCCTGAGCCCCTCGTCGCCCCTCTTTGACGGCCTGTCGAGCGACGAGCACAGGCACGCCGCCGGCCTCGCCCGCTCCCTCCACGTGCCCCTCGGCGCCACCCTCGAGCAGGTCGGCCTCCGCTTCAACGGCTTCGAGCACAACTACGCCGGCACCGACGCCGCACCCGCCGGCGGCTTCACCCGCCTCATCAAGAAAGTCGCCGATGAGGCCATCTCGCTCGGCGCAGAGATCCGCACCGGCCTCGTCGTCGACCGCATCGCCCTCGCCGACGACGGGAAGAGCGTCGTCGTCTCCACCCGCTCCTCTGCCGGCGACGCCGCCGCCGAGACCACCACCACCAACATCGAGGCCAAGACGGCCGTCTGCACCATCCCCCTCGCCGTGCTCAAGGAAAACGTCGGCATCTTTAAGCCCAGCCTGCCCGAGCGCAGGCAGGCCATCATTGTGAGTGCAGCAGCCACCCCAGCGCGGCGGCGGCGCTCTGGGCCGGCAGTCCGCAGCTTGCAGGCAGAACGCTGACCCGCATCTCTCGGACCCTCGGCTCGTCCGTTCGCAGTCGCGCACCTATGTGGGCAACCTCAACAAGGTGCTGCTGGCCTACGACGAGGCGTGGTGGGACAAGGAGGTGGGCACGTTTATGGTGCTGCCCACCCGGGATGCGCCGTCGGACGCGTCGTCGGGCAGCCTGCAGGACCTCTTCGCCTCGACGACGCTCATCGTGTCGTCGCTGTGCGCGCCCAACGGCTTTCCCTCGTCGGAGCCATCGCCGGCGGGCTGCGGCGGCGGCAGGTCGAGCTCGGTGTCCAACTCGCTGCTCGTCATGGTGGGCGCCGACGCCGGCAAGGCCATCGAGGCGCACGACCGCGTCGAGGTGGGCAGGCAGCTCCACGCCTACCTCGCCCAGCGACTCGCCGCCGATGGCGGGGCCGGCAAGGGACCCAAGCACATCTTCTACTCGCGCTGGGCCAAGCAGCCCTTCACTCGGGGCGCCACCACGACGCCCGTGGTGGTTGGCGAGGACAACAGCCCACTCGACTTTACCGAGCTCGGCCGGCCGCTGTGGGAGGGGCGACTGGGATTTGCCGGCGAGCACACCGACCAGGACCGTGAGTAGGGGCCAGCACGCAGAGCAGCAGCGAGGGCCTGAGAGTCTCGCGATCGCCGGCACCTTCTCACCTTCTTTCTCACCCTCATCCTCTCCCTCACCCTCTCCCTCGTCTCTCCCTCTCCTTCAACGGCTGCCCCTCCACGACAGACCGCGGATCGGCGGCAGGCGCCTACGTGAGCGGCGAGCGCGAGGCCGACCGGCTGCTTGCGTTTTTGAACAAGCATCACGCCCAGGCCCAGCAGCAGAAGCTCTGACGGTGGTCGATGCAGTCGAGTGGCAGGGGACCCGTGGCTATGAATAGATAGACGTGTCTGATCAGCCTGCTGCCGCTCCGTTCCGTCGAGTGTCCGAAGTCGGTTGGGGCTCGACGCAGCGCTGGACCGTCGACCCGATCCCCGACGACGATGCACGTCGATCCCGACGGCAGCGGGCTAGCGGCGGCGGCGGCGGCAAGCATGCTGCATGTGTGCGGGGCTGCCCTTAAACCTTGATTCAACTCGACCGGCCGTACGTGGCTTGGTGGCGGCGCGGCCTGCGAGGGAATGCAGGGACGGTGCAGCTCGAGCTGCCAGACGAGTCCCGTCCTCGGCGAGGCGGGCAGGCGGGCAGGCGGGCACCCCCTTTCTCTCCACCACCATCATCAGCACCATAACTCACCTCCCTTTTTCGTCTTTGACATCGAGACGTACCGCCCTCCTCCCAGGATGGACCGCATCCGAACGCCGTCTGTGCTGTGCCTCGATCGTGCACCGCGCTACCGCCCTGCCGCAGCGCAGCGAGGCGGACGCTGTGTGCATGCAGGGCCAGGTCGATGCGGACGGGGTCGAGACCGTACTTCTTCCGCGCCTCTTTCTTCGCTCGCTCCCGACGGCTTCACCACTTCCAGACTTCCGAGGAGGTGATCTCCCGCTCCTCGTGCCTGCATCGACCCGACCCGACCCGCCCAGCTTCGCCACGCTTCGCCACGCTTCGCCACGCTTCGCCACGCTTCGCCACGCTTCGCCACGCCATGCCTGCCCGTCTGACCTTTGTGCCCCTGCCTCGGGGAGGCGCAGCATGCCAAACGGGATCCGCCGTACATTGGTCGATGGGCAGCCACCACTTGCCGGTCCATACCCCAACCTTGCAACAGACGACGGCCGTCGAGGCTTCGATAGAGAGAAGTGCATGGCCTTCCTTGTTGCAGCAGACCCCCTCTGTAGGCACGGGAACGACCTGGGCGCTCCCCGACCTCGTCCACGACTCGTCTCTGCTCTGCTCCAAGGGCTCGCCTCGCCACCTGATGGCTCGCCATGGCTATAAAGGATAGACGTTCCTCGGCCTCACCGTTCAGAGTCTGACCCCAGCATCGGCAGCGTCGAACCTGCCCCGCCCTCTCACCCTCGTCGCGACATCTGGCCCGCACACGACCCGCGCCGAGATGCCCAAGTTCCTCCGCCTCCTCGCCGTGCTGCTGCCCCTGGCCACCGCCGCCGGTCGGGTGAGCGCCAGTCCGCTGCCCGCCTTTGACCTCGACGCCATCGCCGAGCTGCCCAGCCCGACGTCGATCTCGCCCGACATCGCATCCAGCGTCATCGACGTCGCGACGGCCATCCAAGCCGTCCTGGCCACCGCCACCCCGGCCGCGGCCATCAAGGACGACCTGCTCGCTGGTGCCGCC